AGAGAAAGACAGAAATATTCTCTATTAAGACAACTGCACCAACTTCACAGACCTGCTTGAAGGATGTGGATTTAAAGAAATTTTTAAATTAATAAAAAAGTACGTAATGTGTCGTTAAATCAAAAATCTAGAAATTCGCTGTACAACAATGGCTGAAAACAAAAAAAGGCTCCGGGAGCTTTACAAGGAAGCGCCCAATGTCAGCAGAACATTCAAACAACATGTTGTGGTTACAATACTGGAGTTCTCGTTTGCAACTCTGAGTTAGCCGGTATTCGTGCATCAACTCCTACCTGCTCTGCAATGGGAAAAGTGTCCTGCCCGGCTGCCAGATAGAGTTCATGATAGTTGTCGTTGTTAAGCCTTGCTAGTAACAATGAAAACATAAATAATGAAGCTTTTATAATATTGTCTGATCATTATGATATATCAGAACCAAATCAACATTCAATCACAGAACTCTCGATAGCGGCATTAAGCTGTGTATTAGAAATCTAGTTACTTAAGGATTCGCTGGTCGTTCCCCCACTGTCTTTATTACGATTGAAACCTTTGGAGTATGGTATGAAGACGGAGTGACTGTTAAGAAAGTAGATTACAATTAAATAATCGAGTTTTACCTATTCCAACTGATTTGAAAACTGTCTCTCTGTATTCCTTAATCGACATAAGCACAGCGCAGGATTCAAGGAAAGCATACAAGCTCAGACTGATAAAGCAGATTCGGGAAACAACTGAAGCTTTTTTGGTATTTTTCTCCGTTTTTAAGCAGGTCCTAAGTTCAACTCACTTGGATTACCAACACCTAATAGTAAACAGCACGCCAAGCAGAACCCAGGAATGCCCAATCCACAGAACTTGAAACCACCCTACACACGTATGTTATACAGTTTCTATCCTGAATCTTCTTACCAGGCAAATAACACCGATAGTTAGCTTCCGTTGCATATCATTGAATCTTGACGACTGAGATACTCTACTTTGACGTCTCAAACTGAGGAGTAGAATAG